CACTTGAAAAAAAAAAAAAAAAAAAAAAAAAAAAAGTTTGGCTAACTTATACATATATATTTCTTCCTCAGTATCTAATCTATTATAAAAATCATTAAAAGCTAAGCTCTTTGCATCGTAAATTACTTTCTTAGAATCCTTACGAGCCTCTTTATAGGTTTCTCAATTATCATAATTTTTACATCTAAATCAATTTTTATAATAAAATTTCTTTTTTTTTTCTTGCACATTTGGATTTCACCACCAACTATTTTTACTATTAGGAGCTTTTACCTTCGAAATTCCAAGCAAATCTTTTGCAATATTCTTAATATCACAAGTTACTTTTTCCCGCGTAATATTGGCATCATCATGCATATATGATAAGCTCCCAAAATAAAATTTATGCATTCATACTTAATTCAACCAACTTAATAAGTCTAAGGCTAATAACAAATATTTTGTGTTATTTATTGATGTTGGTGTGATTTATAATGGTACTTGGGTCTTATATTATCTTAAAATGTACCTTAATATTTTAACACGCCTTTTAAAATATATACATATTTAGTTTGTGTATATTTCACATGACATCATTATTAAATTGATTTAGAATTTATTTGTGACAACTTTCTTATTATTTTTCAAAGTAAAATTTTAGCACCCTAAATTCTAATTTAAAATATTTTTATATTAAAATTTTATTTTAAAAAATAATAAGATAATAGTTCCGAATAAAATTTTAGAGTTGACTATTAAATCCATTTCCGAATAAAATTTTATAGTTGACTATTAAATCCATACTAAAATCTACCATATTCGCATATCTTGAATGTATTAATGAAGTTTTTCAATACTTAAGTAGTTAAGTATTTAATATGAACCCCCCTCCCAAAAAAAAAATTCTTTTATTTACTATTAAAAAAATATTTTATTTTTCACTTTATTTCTCTCTAATTGTCAAGTTCACTATCATTTTTTTAATGACTTTCATCATACTATCTTGAAATTATTTTTATTATGTTACTTTTCTTTCTCCATCTCCACATTATTTGTATTCTTTTTAAATTAAAATTTCATTAATTTTTTTATTATTTAGAAAACTCCAAATTCTAATTTATAGAAGATTTATGTAATTAAAGCCAACAAATTATATTATAGGAGAATTATAATATTTAAAGTTAAATCAAGTAATTTAAAATATAATGAGTATGATAATGCATAGTAACAACTATAATAAAAATTTAAAAATCATAATTTCAATTTCAAGTTCAAATAAAAAATTTTTGAGGGTATTTTTAAAATCAGAAATTTATGCCATTCCTCATTGCCGCCGACGGTTTCAACAATGGCGATAGCCCCCGTCTACCTCCAATTGACAATCAAATGAGTCTGGCGTCATTAAACCCCTTGCCCCGGACAAACAAGAACAAAACGTTCTTTGGCTCCCTTCATCATCCCGACTTTTGCAAGCTGAAATTGGAAGAAATTTCCTTTTTGTTTCATTCTACAATTACAGCTTAAGATGTCTTATTCATGAGCCTTCTCTCCTTCTTACCACTCGCGCCTGCTCTCCTCTTCCATCTTGAGCCACAACCATCGGAGTTCTCGTGAAACGTATATCTCTCTCTCTCGAAGATAATGCTCTTGTGGCTCACCATTTTCTGTTATGGTTTTTGTTTTCTTTTAGAGCTGCTGCATGTGTGGATTCCTTCAGCAGATTTGTTTCTTGCTTTGCTATTGTTTCAAGTGTAATGATCCATAATTGCTTTTCAGTTGAATTCCCTATTTTTTTTGTGGCCAGAGGCTCTTATCGGGTCTTTATATCTGGTGTCTGTTGTATAAATTTGATTAGGTCAAGTGAAAAGTTCTGAATTTGCAATCTTGAATTATCTCCGGTGGAATTTCTCAACTTCCAATATCCTTTTTTTTTTCTTGTTGTACTATTGAATAGGTTTTTCTTACCGTTTCTTATAATCCATTCTTCTCTCTGCAAGTTGACTCCTTTTCTTTCTCTCTCTCTCTCTTTTCCCTTCTGTATCTGCTACATCTTTACTTGTTTAAGCAATACTTCAGTGTATTTATTTCATGGATTTCTTTGCTTTTGCTTCCTTCTTCCAACTCTAACAGTTACATAACCGTTACTGAAAGATTGTTGTTGTTGTTGTTTTCTCTTCAGCGAGTTATGTCGTTTATTTACCTTGTATATCTAGTGTATAAAATTTAGTCCTTTTGCTTTCTTGCTATTAACTGAGGAGAAAAGCTCTGAACTTTCCATCCCCTTTATTAATTTCTTTGATGGGTTTTTCATTCAGTTCCTTCTAATCCTTTATTCGCCCTGCAATTTTATCCTTTCCTATCTCTTTATACTTGTTTCGGTTGCAATATCTTAAATGTCTCCTTCGTATCTCCCTCTCCATTGGGAGAGTACTGGAGACAAGTGGTGGTATGCTTCACCCATAGACTTGGCAGCAGCCAACGGCTACTATGATCTTGTTCGTGAGCTCCTCCATCTTGACATGAATCTCCTAATCAAGCTCACCTCCCTTCGCCGGATCCAGCGGCTTGAGGCTCTATGGGATGATGGCAACCACCTTGTTCATGCTGCTAAATGCCAATCCATTGTTGCCCACAACCTCCTACTTGAATGTGAAACCAAGAACAACAAGAACAGCCTAATTCAAGCAGGATACGGGGGGTGGCTTCTATACACTGCAGCTGCAGCTGGTGACAATGGCTTCGTCCAAGAGCTACTTGAGAGAGACCCACTTTTAGTATTTGGAGAAGGCGAATATGGTGTCACCGATATGCTCTACGCAGCGGCGAGGAGCAAGAACATTGAGGTGTTCAAGTCTATATTTGATCGTGCGATATCTCCTAGGTGTTTGGATGGTGAGGGAGGAGGAAGTGAAGAGGCATTAGAGAGTGGGAGGGATAAAGTTTCATTTTTTAGATGGGAGATAGTTAACAGGGCAGTTTTCGCCGCTGCAAAGGGAGGGAACTTGGAAGTATTGAAAGAGCTTCTTATGGAGAGTTTGGATGTTTTGGATTATAGAGACAACCAAGGAGCTACCATCTTGCATGCTTCAGCAGGAAGAGGGCAAGTTGAGGTGAGAGATTGCTTAAGCTTCAGATTAGTATTTTTTATTATTTTTTAAAGAATTTTGCTTATGATTTCATTGCCATTACCTCTTTTTGTGCATTTGTTTCTTCTTAAAATTTGCCTGGACATAAATTTTTCTAGAGGAAGAAAAATTCATCTGTCTGAACTTTTTTATCTTTTCATACATTTAGGCACTAAGAGATCCATTTTCTATTTGTACAGTACAATACCTGTATCGTACAGTACGATTAGTGTAATTCAGACTCGTCCAGCAAGGTCTTTTAAACGAATTGTTCAACCTTTATAACATTTCGTACCGTACGATACTGTAGAAATTCCTTCTGTTTGTTTGGGATGATGCTTGGGACGACCAACATCGTACACTATCGATCCAGGTAGCGTGCGGCGCGGGCACTCGACATGGGCGACAAACGTGGGCAGACACAATCAACGGGTTTAGCTGTGTCATTCCGGGTCATTCCCGGGTTTCCGGATCAACCCGAATCCGACTCAATTTTTGAAATGGGTCGATTTGTTGAATCCAAACCCAACCCATTTCACAAATGGGTTGACCCTAACCAGAAAATTTCGGGTCATGTCAAATATTGAAACCGCTATTCCTGACATCTTCTTGAGATTTTTTATTCTGTGGCCTTTATGCATCTTTAATGCTTTGGGTCAAATAGAACTGATGAATTGAATCAACAATGGAATCGTTAAATTTCTATCTAGATTCATATTAATTGAAAAAACTGAAGAACCTCATTTTCTTGCTGTTTTAATGTATAGCTAGCATGCGGATGTGAAAATTGCCATAGTAATAATGCATGCAAGTATTAACGTCAACAAGGTTGTATGATAGGGGAGAATCACAGGGCTTTATCCATTCTCAAGCTATTGTTATAAAGTTTCAAATGTTTTCTGCTTGCAGGTAGTTAAAGATCTCCTGGAAACATTCAACATCATTGAAAGCAGAGACAATCGAGGCAACACAGCACTGCATATTGCTGCGTTTAGAGGACATCTACCAGTTGTTGAGGCCTTGATTTCTGCATCGACATCTTTGTCTCATTTAAAGAACAATGATGGTGACACTTTTTTCCACTTGGTTGTAGCAAGCTTTCAAATGTCTGGCTTTCGATGCCTTGACCGCCAAATGAAGCTGGTGCAACAACTGATTTCCGGCAACATCGTAAACGTTCAGAACATCATCAACATACAGAACAACAATGGAAGAACAGCTCTCCATGTTGCAGTGATTGGTACTTTGCACTCTGACCTTGTTGTGCTCCTTATGGCCATTCCCTCGATTGACATTAATGTTCAGGATATCAATGGCATGACTCCGCTCGACCTGCTCAACCGACAAGTCGGTTCTTCCACATCGAATTTACTGATCAAGAAGTTTGTTTCAGCTGGCGGGATTCTGAATTCGAATGGCCCAAGCATTGAATCAGGGATGTCTTCACTGTTGAAAGTGCAATCTGGCACAGGAAACAGCCCAGGCTCTTCCTTCAGAATCGCAGATTCGGAGGAGATTTTCTTATACGCAGGAATTGAGGGAGCTGAGGCCAGTGGGAGGCTACTAAGCTCATGCTCCAGTATCAGCAAGAGTGAGAGTGAGGATCATACAAACAAGAAGAAACCTTCAAGCTCTCTTAATGCTGCAGCAAGGAAACTCAGAATTCTCCTCAGATTGCCGCTTCATAAAGTGAAGAAGATTGATGATGACTGTCATGATTCAATGAGCTCTGTAACAAAATGGAGCGAAGGGGAGGAGATACCTACACCCCTCAGACAAACTTACTCCAACGGGACCTCCTCTCTCGTGAACAATAAGCGAACGGTTGCGGTAAGGACATCAGTGCCTAGCCCAGCCACAAAGAAGAAATTTGCAGCAAGCTTAATCCATGGAGTCTTCCAAGAAAGGCCACAGCTAGCTCCTTATTCACAACCACAGACTCCAGTGAGCTCCTTTCCCTGCTCTCAGGTCTCATCACCATTGTCAGAGAAGCAGAAGGTTGTTTATGTCGACAATGAGAAGATCATGAAGACCACACTCAATCACTTTGTTTATAGTCACATTACAAAGGCTTCATCAAAGAAATTAAGTTTGATAAATTCGAAGTTTATGAATAAATTCTTCTGTGTTGAGGCAAATGGCCTGGAAATAAAGAACTCATCAGCCAGAATGACCCTTGGTCGCTGTGTTCCTCCTGATGGTTGATGAAGAAATCAGGAATGTATGATTTGAATTTGGGATCAAATAGGAAGAGCAAATCTGAAGTTGTGAAAGATACATGGCAAGGTTTTTCCTTTTTTTACAAAGCTGAAAAGTATAGGCAAATGTAAAGTCCTTTTGAGTGAGAATTTGTATTTGATCTACAGCTCCCTGTTGCTAACTTTGAACCCCCTTGAATCCTACAAGTTGACCTTGTTTTCTTTGTTAGCTATCCTATTTTTATCTATAAGATCCATATTTTTATTTCATTATAATTTTCTCTTATTCTTTAAAAATTCAAGCTTTTCACAACCAATGTATTCAAATGTGGTAGCTATAAGTTAACTATTGGCTCTGATTTTTTTTGAAGGGGAGAGTTTATAAATTTTAATTTGTGAAAAAAATGCTACAAAACATGTGCACCTCTGTGGCTTCACATTTATGGTTAAAATATTTAAAGAGCAAGACAAACAGAAGTTGCAAAATATTACCAACAGGTGAGGAGCATGTTAAGTATATCTTTGAGGTTCAATAAAATTATAAGGTATTCATGAGAATGATTTAAATCTTTCAAAGTTTAAACAAACGACTCTACTTAAAAATAAAAGAAAGAGAAGTATGTAACCTGGATAGAGCTGTGATGCACTAATACTCTCATTTATGAAGGTGTGATGTATCAGACACGTGTTAGATAAGGATAAGAACCCGTTATAGCTCGGATACATGTTCGATACAGCAAGATGTGTTCTATTAAAATAATATTTAAATTAAAAGGATATGTGTATCCTATTAAATAATAAAAAAATTAAGTTAAATAAAACACGCAGCCCGCATCGTATTTCAGTATTTTGTTTGCCCGAGCAGGGAGTTAGGGCCTTACGTATTTTCGTTTACACGAGTAGACGATGCTGAAGGAGGGTGATACACTAGCAGGGAAGGCCAAAGGAAGTGTTTCTTCCATTATATGTTTTGTTTTCGAGTCTTTGTCCTCTGTTTTTGGCTCTTCTTCGTCTACTTCGTCCTCGTGAGAAACACACTAGCCAGCGAAATGAAAGAGCTTACAGATGCAAGCAGAGAGGCCGAAAGAGCTTGCATCTTCGTTGAAGGAGTTTATTTTCAAAGGCAGGAGAGGTGAAAGAGCATTGAATGTTCATTTTCATGTCTTCTTCATTTTTCGTGGCAGACGAACGCCAATCTCTTTTTATTTTTGTGTTTTTTGAGGGGTTATCTTCCTTATAGTTGTCAAATAAGAGGAGGAGGGATAAGGACTTACGGTTCACGGTTTTGCTATCTTGAGGGATACGGTTTGAGAAACAAGATAAACTCAAAAATGTGATCTTCTACTTTTTTAGGATTTAATTTGGTTACATAATTTGTTAATTGATTGGGTGCAACTTATCCATTTTTTTATGTTTGGTGTGGCTCAAGTATTTTGCTTGATTTTGATGCAACCTTTTCATTACTTTGAATTAGTATAATTGATGCATATTTTAGGTTAAGACTTAAGAGCAATGCTTTGGTTCTATACAAACAAACATTCCTTTCAAATTCTTCTTGGGTCAAGTAATAATAACATAGAGTAAATTTTAAAAGAAACATAACAATACAATCAATATTTATATATAACTAATTAATTTAATATGAAGATGCTAAATTAAATTTTGAAAGGATACATAATAATACAATCAATATATATATATATAGTATGAGTAGAAGCACTATTCTTCTTATAAAAATCATCTGACTTAGGTTTCGGTTGGGACGGCTTTCTTCCGCTTCTTAAAATAACTTTTTAATATAAAAATTAAAGTTTTAACTAAAAAACTGCTTTAAGAAGTAGTAAGAAAGTCATCTCAAACGAAATCTTCATTTCAATAAAGACACTCAACTTCAAGGGCGGAGGGAGGGGGGGGCAAGGGGGGGCACGTGCCCCCCCTAAATTTTTTTCCCCTTGGCTAAAAGTGATATTAAAACAATTTTTTTATGAGAAAAATAAGAGTTGGAGGTATAAATTATAATTATTCAGCAAGATTTTTAATGCATGTAATATATTCATAAAAAAATTGTCATATAATTTATTGATCAAATTTTTTATCAAAATGGATCTTAAAAATATTGTATTTATTTTGAGATATGTGTAATATACATTTTAATTAAATTTTTTATGTATTGCACTCATTTTAAAGTAAATTTAAGTGTGGATGATCAATTTACATAAGAAAATTAGTATTATTTTTATAAAAAATAAGACCTAACAATTCTATGATTTAACATGCAAGACTATGATTTAGGCTTTGTTCAGAATAATTATCTAACTAATTTTAACAATAACTTTTTTATAAAAAAATTTACTCTAGCTACAATATCATATCAAAGGCACAAACGGAGACCACTCCCAAATGGCTTCATTTCTCTCGACTCAAGCGGTATGTTTCGTTGTCCCCTTTGCTCCTCTCTTACTACTCGTGACTCGCGACATCTAGCGCAACTTTCGTTTTTCTTTCCGTTCCTCTCTCGCCATGTTTTTTTTTTTTTTTTGAGTCTCTCTCAACATGTTATTTGCATTATTAATTTTGATCTTAGAGCTCTTTTTGACTCTAGCAATAAGTTGGTAAATATAACTATTTTAATGTATTCTAACATTTCAAATGAGATGACAAACCGCTTGAAAATTCGTCATAGGAAAACCGTAGAAAAATTTATCATTGAAAAACCGCCTAAAAATTGCGCCGATAATAGATGAGTTTTCTGTAGTGTTTAATTTAGGCCCCCCTGAATAAAATTTCTGGCTCCGCCACTGCTCAACTTGATACATCATACCTTAATACATTTCTTCATTTCAATAGATAGGTATCTTTAATGACAGAAGAAGATAACTGTTATGGGAGATAGATTTCTCATAAATTTGATGGTGAATAATGTAGATCCGCAAGAGATGTATTCAAGCATTGCTTACTTTTGGTTGAACATAAATCTTCGGATTCATAGGTTAGATTCTATTATGAACAACATCATTGATTTTTTTAATAACAATTGTCTCCCCTTACCACTATACAGTTTCGCCCCTAATCATAGCCTTTGGAAATAATAAGAAACGATCATATCAATAATACACATCACGGTCAAAACCTATTCTGCAACAATGTATAAATAGGTAATAGCTCAACATTGCTCAAAAGTACAAAGCATAATATAATACTTTTCATTAGTATAATTTTTAACAATATCAATGTATGATTCTTGTAGTGCTAAAAACTAAATTCTCAAACAAAATAGTAAAAAAAGTTTAATTTTGTTTTTAAAAACTTATCTATTTATCTCAAGAAAAATTCATATAATTAAAAAAAAATTCCAACCTAGACATTAAGTAAACTTAACACATAACCAAAATTTTAGACAAAGTATATAAGTAATAAAAATAAAATTGAAAAATCTAAAATATAATTAAAAATTGTGAATCCTTGGTAATTTATAAATTAAATTTTTTTTAATAATACCAACTTTTCCCAACCAATCGCACAATATTTGAGCCATTGATTTCTTTTTAAATAAAAAATATATATTTTTCTTAATTTTAAAATCCGTTTCTCTTTAAAAAATTGCCTATTTTTATGCCAACCCGATCTATAAATAGAAACTTAAAAAACAGAAAGCCATTACAGAATTCAATATTTAATTTTTGTCCGTTGACAACTTTCCTTACACAAATAACAGAGCCATTACTAATTTCTTTTAAAAAAAATCATTCCTAATAATATAATTCCAGCTGGTACCACATTGCCACGTGTCACTATTTCGGAATCTTTGTCCCTACCATCTCTCTGGACCCTCCAAAGATTCAGAATCCTCGCCAAGAACCAAAAGACCGATTCTATTATGGGTATCCTCGTCTAGGTTTTTGCGAGCTGTGATTCTAAAAATGGTAATCTCCACCGCTACATAAGCAAGACCGGAGGCCTGATGGCAATGGGTTAGTGGAGGAGAAGAAGGAAAGAGACTCCTCGCCTCATTGGCAGATATTCTTCTTCTTCTTTTTCATCGATCGAGCTTTCTTCGTTTACTGTTCATTCAAGATTGTCCTTCCTCCTTCCCCGTTCAGTTCGTTGCTATCGGATTCAATCGAGGTTGAAATGGAGCTTGAGGATAAGGAGACGCAGGTACAGAAGGCGAAGGTGCTGGATGACTGGCTTCCGATTACTTCGTCCAGGAATGCTAAATGGTGGTACTCGGCTTTCCACAATGTGACGGCCATGGTTGGTGCTGGTGTTCTCAGCTTGCCCTACGCGATGTCGCATCTTGGATGGTACTGGTTGCTTTCGAGCTTTTGTTTTGGATTTATTGGTTATGTTTTTTTAGGAGTGGTGGTATGCGTATGTTCTTGAAATTTTTTGTTTTTTGTTTTTTTAAGATTGCGTTTTTCTTTTAAAGATTGCGTGTTTTTTGTTTTGATTATTAGGGTTTTGTGGTTTCTGAAATTTATTTAGCATATCTCTTTTGTTTTGATGTTCATAATCATAAATCATAATGCAAAAGAAAGAGGATCCCTCTATAAGCAATGTGGCCTTATTGTTTAGAGAGGTAATCCGTAGATTTGTGGAATAGCGTAAATGAAATCTGATCTAATTCGTGGTTGGCCTAGATTTTTTTTCAGTCAACGTTGCATTAAAAATCTTGTTCGGCCACATATTATATTGGTCAGCATTTATCCAAAGTTTATAGTTTATAGCCTTCCGCTCCATTTTACTTATGGAGCTCAACAATTTTATCTCATGCTTCATCTTAATATTCCTTTTTTTTGCAAATTAATATTTCATTGTTTTTTGGGTGGGATATTTATGTTGCATTGTATTTTGAGCAAAGGAATATGAAAATTTGAAAAAAGAGGCTTGAAATAAATATATTACTGTTACGGATTGCTGTTTCATGGTACCATTGCCATGTTTATGACAGTATGTTTTATGAATTCCCTCATCTAAGGGCGTCTCCAACCGAACTCCAAACTATTGTAAGGCGTATCTGGTTTGCTCCATTCGAATGATAAAAAAATCGCTAATCGGTGGAGGGGTACTGTTCACCTACGCGATTTTTTTTTTCTCAAGATGATTTACCGAAAAAACGTGTGAAAGATGAGAAAAATGTTTATCTTTGCAGAAGCGTGCAAAATGGAATTCGATTGGAGATGAATCACGACATTTTTAGTTTCACTGCATTTTGAAGTGAAAAATGGGATTTTCGGTTGAAGATGCCCTAAGAATCTAAGAGTATATGTGCGCCTATTCTCCGCTTTTCTGCAATGTTATGATCCTTTCATATTCCAATCTGTTCAAATATTAAATGTATTTGATTCTCACCTCCTTGACATGAACAGGGTTTGCTTCTCATTAGAGAAATATAGGCTGGTCATTAATGTTTCATGGGTTCATTTATGCATTATCAAGAAAAATGTTTCGAGCATTGAACCGATCAAATAGCAATCTTTTGTTCAGCATCATTTGAATTGCTACAATCCTGCTGTAATTCTTAACACAAACTGTGCATTAATCACTAAAACCGTTGATATTTCAGGGGTCCTGGAATCACTGTCATGATTCTGTCATGGATCATCACCCTTTACACCTTGTGGCAAATGGTGGAGATGCACGAAATGCCAGATAGGGCGCCAGGGAAACGTTTTGACCGTTACCATGAGCTTGGGCAGCACGCTTTCGGCGACAAACTTGGGCTCTGGATTGTTGTTCCCCAACAGCTTATAGTCGAAGTTGGGGTCGACATTGTGTACATGGTCACAGGGGGCAAATCTCTCAAGAAGTTCCATGACCTTGTTTGCCCAGACTGCAGTAACATTAGACTGTCTTACTTTATCATGATCTTTGCTTCTATTCACTTTGTTCTTGCCCAGCTCCCCAACTTCAACTCAATCTCTGGCGTTTCCTTGGCTGCTGCTGTCATGTCTCTCAGGTTATGCATCTTTTTCATGGTCTCCGATTATTATCTCTCATATAATAACTTCTACTGATTCATGAGAACTGTGATCAGCTATTCGACCATTGCTTGGGCTGCATCTGGAGCGAAAGGGAAGCAGCCAGAAGTGCACTATGACTTAACTGGAAAGAACAACGCTGATAACGTTTTCAATTTCTTTAATGCTCTAGGAGATGTTGCTTTTGCCTATGCAGGCCACAATGTTGTTCTAGAGATCCAAGCAACAATCCCTTCCTCGCCTGATAAGCCATCCAAGAAGCCTATGTGGAAGGGAGTCATTGTTGCATACATTATAGTTGCAATCTGCTACTTACCAGTCGCTTTTGTTGGGTATTATGTTTTTGGAAATAATGTTGATGATAATATTCTTATCACCCTTGAAAAGCCCAAGTGGCTGATTGCTGCAGCTAATATGTTCGTTGTGATCCATGTTATTGGGAGCTATCAGGTTAGTTTTCCATTGTTTCATTTGTTCTCTTTTAGCATCAGTTGTTAATAATAATAAGACCCTCATCTTTATCTTAATTAAAATTCTACCCTATGTTCTTAAAAGAGTAACACTAAGCAGAGTTTCAGATAGATACAAGATGTTATATATATGAGGTTTTGGATTTATAAATAGTGAAATTTACATACATACCACTTTCTAATATCCTATTTACATATCTAACATATCACTTTATGACACCCTAAATCCTAAATTTCCCTTATAAATAATGTTTTAACGGGTATACGATATATTATTGTAATATAAGATTTTAAGTCAAATGTACAAACTTTGAGCCAGATATAAGGTAAGGGTTTATCAAATACAAATTCTTTGACTTATAAGAGTTTGATATAAGACTTCTCATTCAAGTATAAAGTTATTAGCTAAGATTTTGTCAGCTACTATTTCTATTACTCTTCTATAAGTTATTTCACTCAATATAGCTCACTTTGGTATGTTGTTTGGGAGCTTAGGCTATCAACTAAGAGGTCATAAATTTGTGTTTTGTGTATGCGATGTGTGTGTGAGTCTGTCTTAATTGGCCTAAATGTCTCCAAAAAAGAGTTATTTCACTCAAACATAATATCTTCGGCCCAATGAGGAAAATTTCATAAATGTCATTAAATAGCGCATTGTCTTGTAACAATATCATTTAAATTTGGCCACACATGAAAGTTAATGTGACCTAATTTTAATTGTGGTTTTGTTTGGGAGTAAAATAGCTTTCTTGTTGTTGAAATTTATCAGATTTACTCATTTCCTTCTATCATGCAATTCAGATTTATGCCATGCCTGTATTCGATATGATCGAGACGGTTTTGGTAAAGAAACTCGATCTCCCACCGGGCATAGCCCTCCGCTTGATTGCAAGGAGTCTATATGTTGGTAATGCATAACATCTTCAACCAAAATTCTAATCTAAACCTATGCATCCATTGATGCATCAAGTTCTGTTATACTTATTAACATTCCATTAATTTATTCAGCCTTTACAATGATTGTTGCAATCTGCATCCCTTTCTTTGGTGGCTTGCTTGGTTTCTTTGGAGGATTTGTATTTGCCCCAACCACATATTTTGTAAGTCTGGTTCCACTTTTCTTTTAAAGTTTGTAGAACTCAACTGTATAATGATACAAATTAACATTTACAAATGCCTGAATTCTTGCAGCTCCCTTGCATCATGTGGCTTGCTATCAAAAAGCCTAAAAGGTTTGGCTTGTCCTGGTCCATCAACTGGGTGAGTTCTCTCTCTCTCCCCCTCCCTCATCTCATGTCTGAATGTTCACACACATTGATCTATGTTCTAATTAGGTGTGTAAGTGAGCCGAGCCGGCTTGAGCTCAACTCGTTTATGGGCTCACCAGCCGAGCTTATCGAGCTCGAGCTCGAGTTCGCGCTCGTGAGCTCACGAGCTAGCTCGAATAAATATTAATATTTTTAAAATAGTTTATTTTATTTATTAAATTTAAATATTAAAAAAATTTAATAAAAACCACCTAAGTTTTATTTAAATGTTTCATATTTTTTTTTCTAAATTTTGACTAAGTTTTAAAAATCCTGCTTAAGTTTTAAAAATCCAGCCTAAATTTAAAAATTCTCGCCCATGGCTTGCGAGCCGGCTCGAGCTCGTTTACAGTGAGACGAGCTCGCTTTCTAAGTAACGAGCCAAGCTCGATAAGGGCCTAACTCGATTCGACTAGTCTCGTTTACACCCCTAGTTCTACTGAGCATCTGATGTCATTTATTGTGAATGTGCACAGATCTGCATCATTCTGGGAACAATGCTGATGATTCTTGCACCAATTGGAGGGCTCAGGTCAATCATCCTCAGTGCCAAGAGCTACAAGTTCTTCTCATGAACTTCACTTAATGGAAATGATAGCAAGGTTCTTTCTCTTAAGGGCCTCGTGCTTGCCTACCCAGCATGTCTATAACTACTAATATGCTATATGAAGTTGTCTCTTAATCTTCATTGTGTAGGAAAAAAAGATTTCGTTGCTACTTAAGGTGGATAACCTAATTATGTTTTCTCAAGTATTTGTGCTCCTAAGACCATTTTTTTATACCATGATAATGATAGGGTCGTACAGACTCACTGAAGCAAATGTATGTTGGTATAAATTTTATCTTTATTCCTGCTGCAAGTATGGCTGTGTTATGTGTATGTGATTTCCTGCTACAATTTAATTCATTTTTATTTGTGTGTATTGCATGTTCTTCGATCAGATTCTGCATTTTTATCTGTTTGTAGCACTTGTAGTCAGTGGCGGAGTCAGAAATTTTATTTAGAGAGAGGGCCTAAATTAAAATAGTCATGTTTGCCATCTCATATAAAATGTTAGAATGCATTAAAATTGATGTGGATAGGTGACATAAACTTGTTGAGGATCATTATTAAGGCTTCATTTAGAATAGTGTTCTTATTGTTTCTTAAATCAGTTTTTTAGTAAAAAAAAAAATTGAACTAAAAACTTTTGTGCTAAAAAGTTGTTTTATAAATCAATAAGAAATCAATCCCAAATGAAGCTCAAGGCTTCGTTTGTGACGGCTTTTTAACTACTTTTTAAAGTAGCTTCTTAGTATATAAATTTTAATTTTTTTGTTAAAAATTGCTTTAAGAGGTATTAAGAAAGTCGTAGGCTTCATTTGGGACGGTTGTTTTGCTGCTTCTTAAAGCAGGTTTATAGTACAAAAAATTTAATTTTTGTATAAAAAATTACTTTAAGAAGCAGTAAAAAACTGTCCCAAACGAAGCCTAAATGTTTAAATTTGCTTTCAATTGAGGATCGAGATGTGGCTCATTGGTTGAAGAAAAATTTTCCTCCCAAGTGATCCGCGCCTATAAAATTGCCCAAAAAATTTTTGCTTTTGAATTAGTGTAATATAAAAATGCATTGATCATATATGTATTTCAATCATCTCAAAAAAAAAAAAAAAAATAATTAAAAAATAATTTTTTTAAAAAAAAAAAAAAAAAAAAAAAAAAAAAAAAAAATCCAAGGGTTTTAAAATTCACCTAGCCAAAATTTCTCCACTTTTTTATCAAATTAAAGTTCACCTACTTTGATTAATCAATTACATCTACCAATCAAGTAAAAAAGCCAAATAATGACACATTAGGGCATAAGTTATAGAAGGGAAGAGAAATTGAGAGAGATAGAGCAGACATTTGGAAAGGAAGACAATTTTGATTCATTCCAAATTATAAATAAAAAATCTTTATTTATAAAAATAATACATAAAATAATAGTCTAAAATTAAATCTAGTATGATTTATCCATGAATAACTGTAAATACAAATATAATATTTATAAAAAAAATTTTGCTACAAAAATCAAATTATAATGCTAGAAATTTTAAAAAAATTATATACAAATTGTAAGAACTCTAATTCCAACATATTTGTAGTCAAAATGGCATGCCCTTCGAGACGGCAAATTATTGCATCCGGTCACCGGACGTGGAGATAGATCCGAATATTAATAAAATATTATTTTAAATTTAGCGCGTCAAAAGCGCAGGTAAAGCGCAGGTCAAAGCGCAGTCAAAAGCGCAAGTAAAGTGCAACTAAAGCGCAAGTCAAAAGTGCATGTAACGTGGCAAATTTTTATTGGATGTTCGAACCTATTCTCCGCGTCCGGTGACCTGATGCAATAATTTGCCCTTCGAGACGGTCTCATCATTATCAAATTTATTTAAACTCAAGTCCAAAAGACCTTTAAAAATAGCTAATATAATTAAAAAAATTAGGGAATAATCAAAGCAATTAGCTCATTTAGTTGATCTTATACAAGTTTAATTGGGGCAAAAGTAGCCAAAAAAAAGTCACAAGGGCTTATGCGGTTATGCCACCTAACTATTCATTTCTTATTTAATAAGATATTCGTTATGTTCCCTTATTTTATTTAACATAATAAGCAACTTATGAAATGTAATATTCATATTCTAATATTTGATTATAACTCTACTTTCAGTTATATTTCCCACGATGAATATTCAGTAGGTGAAAGTCTGAAAGAGATCATCATGAATTTCCTTATAACTTCATTTTCATTTAACTCTCTTGAACAGTTGAACCTCCCGCACCTGCATAAAACAGATGGGGCCAGAAATAACCTCTTATATCTATCCAACAAGATAGATAGGGCTAGAATTAGTTAGAATAGAATAGAAAGTCGGACCCACAAAATAGAATTTATAATGCACTTTAGCATTCTCCTATATTAGAACATCCGTCATATGATCATCAATGCATATACATAAATTTATAGAATTAACATGTGCATGATATGATAAGCATGATCATGAATACAAAAATACCATGGTACATAAAATGGTGGTTGTGTATCTTTTTCATATCTTCCATTTTTAATCATTTATGAAGACATTTGTAAATAAACTTTAAAATATTATTTAAGACTCTTAAGGAATTATAGCTCATCTCATATTTTAGACCTGTCAATATTTGACCCAACCCGAAAACCCGACCCGAATCCGACCCAAAAATTTCGGGTTCGGGTTAGGGATTTCGACCCGTTTGTAAAACCGGGTCGGGTTCGGGTTGACCCGAAAACCCAAATCAGCCCGATTTGACCCGTTTTTAATTAATTTAGGAGGGTTTTAATGGATTTTTATGAAATAAGTAAATGATATTTCAAAAAATTATAAACATTATTGCCCAAATTAAATTAATCTTGATTTATTTTAAATTAATTGAAGTAAATCTTACCTTAATTTGATTTAGATTTAAATAAATTGAATTAAATAAAAAAATTTAATAAAATATACCCGAATCGGGTCGGGTTCGGGTTGACCCGGACCCGAAGCGGGTCGGGTTCGGGATTTTTTTTATTTAAGCCTTTAATGAGCTTATGAGAATTTTTTTTTCTAAATTTTTTTTTCACTTAATATATAGACTATTGTTTGTTATTATTTTAAGAGTTCATAGAAGTTTATTTATTATTTTTTTTCTAATGAATCTTTTAATATTCAAATTACCAATTACCCTTTCATTATTCTTTGATTATTCTTTTCCTTTTACTCTCTCTTTCTTCTATTATTGATTTTATTTTGAATTTATGATTTAAACATGTCTGGCTTTTTTAAAGATTTAATTAGTAAGTTAATTTCTAATTTAATTGAACTGATTTTGATTTTATTTTATTTACTTTGGTTCGCTTTATTTAGTTTAAATTAACCTCATTTTTAACTTGATTTTAAATTTTAATTTGCCTTCTAATTTTCTATTTAAGTTTTATTAAATGCTTTATTCAAGTGTATGTTTTGTTTTGAATTTGCTTCAATCTTATATTTTAATTTGATTTTAGGAAGGATTTATTTTAATTATTATTACTTGATTTAAATTTCATATTTAATTTATGCATTTCATTATATTTGTGGATTCAATTTAATTGTAATTAGTTTGCAATTAAAACTTTTTATTTTGCTTAAATAAATGAATTTTATTCATTATTTGAGGGTTAAACTTTGATTTATATGTGTTGCGTCCAGGAGTATTCGTTGCGGTAGAGAAATATAAAGTTTAACGTCTTAGCGTTATATGAAAATCCGGCACGCAATCAGATAAGAGAGAGGGTCTAGTATTTATGAGACACCAATATTTTTACATGGAAAACTCCTGAAAAGAGTGAAAAATCACGGGGTCTAGCCCAGTTTGAATGAAACCACTAGTATTGCAGTTGATTACAAATGAGGCCCTTCCTTGGGAGAAGGCCTTAACTTGATGTACATTTTATAGAGTACATTACATGATGTGAATACAAAGAGTCACTATTGACGTGTTCATTTGGTCGGGAGGACCATAGTCTAGTTACGAAGGTCAGAAGAATTGTAGTTGGCGGGCGACACGAGGTCAAAAAGACTGTAGTCTACGGGTGACGTAAGTCAGGAGGATCATAGTCGGCTAGCGATGGAGGTCGGAAAGATTGTAGTTGGCAGGCGACGCAAGTCAGGAGGACCGTAGTCGGTGGGAGACGGAGCTCAGAAAGACTGTAGTCGGCGAGCGACGTAAGTCTGGAGGATCGTAGTTGGCTGGCGACGGAGGTCAAAAAGACTGTAGTCGGCGGACGACGTAAGTTAGGAGGACCGTAGTTGGCGGGCGACGGAGGTCGGAAAGACTGTAGTTGGTGGGCTACGTAAGTCTGGAGGACCGTAGTCGACGGGCGACGGAGGTCGAAAAGACTGTAGTCGGCTGGCGACGTAAATCAGGAGGACCGTAGTCGACGGGCGACGGAGACCCGAAGGATTGTAGTCGGTGGGCGACGTAAGTCAGAAGGACTATTGTCTGACGACGAATGTCAGAAATACAACATCAGGTAGAAGTCCAACAATGGAAAGAAATCCATCTTCAGATAGATGTCTAACGAAAGACAGATAACCAATAGAAGTTCGGCGTCGGGTAGAAATTTTGGCAATGAGTGAAGGTCCGGCGTCGGGTAGAAGTCCGACGTTTGTTGGTGGCCAAGGAGAACTCCGGCATCACTTGAGCGGAGTTTCGACGTCAGAGGTGAACTCTGTTGTTACTTGGGCGGAATGTTAGCATCCCGTGGAAGTCAGGCATAATTCTTGCGTCCTGTGAAAGTTGGGTAGAATTCCGGTGTCATTTGGAGTTCGGGCGGAACTCCGATGGTGGTCGAGGATGAGTCTCTTCCCTCCTACTCTTCTATTATCCTCTTTTTCTTGCTTTTTTGCTTGGGCCCCTATCAAGAGAAATTAGGGGTCTATTTATAAATTTTTTTTAGTGGCATGGCCTGTAAATAGATTAGAGAACAGGGGCAAATGTGGAGTGGTTCGATGGACGACCGATATTGAATCCCTTGATCATGGATCGTTTATCAGACATTTGAAGGTCTTAATGACTATGGAATTATGTGATCTTGGGCTCGTTGGATTCGTCTCGTCATGCCGCTCGATTCAATTACAAGCTCGTTAAGTTTGAAGACCGTTTGGTAACTCAAATTGTGGTACGAACTTTCCAACAGTGCTTCGGGTCCTTGATTTGGATTCATTTGGGCTCGTAATGAGTTGAATTTGGTATCGTCCGGTTCGTATTTTAGTTTGACTGTGAGTTCGCTGAAATCGGAGTTCAAATGCTCCCGGATTTAATTTTTTAAGTTTCCTGCTTGATTTTGACTCGAGATTCGTGCCCGCTCAAGATACTTTTATGATGACGTATCAATGTGAATTTTGTAGTTGTTTGAATTTTTTTTGAATTATCGGGTAAATAAGCTCTAATTAAATGATCAAAGTCTAATAATCTAAATAAGAAAGCACGCTAAGTTGAAAAAATCTTGTCTAGCGCTGCTAAAACTAATACAAACACTACATGCAACGTCGGGTTTGGGTCATAAATTAAAGAGCGGGGTTTCTACAATATCCTAAGATTTTGGAGAGCATAAAATGTATATAAAAGGGGCCTCAGAGATCGAGGGCTATCTAAGTTTTAAGAGAACTCATTACACCAGAGCATGTCCGGTGGTATTCGGCCGTAACACCTCCATTTGAAAGAAATGAGGGCAACTAAGGCTTCGTTTGGGACGGCTTTTTTATTGCTTTTTAAAACGGAGTTGTAGTACAATTTTTATAATTTTTGTACTAAAACTCCGTTTTCAGAAGCAATAAAAAAGCCATCCCAAACGAAGCCTAAATTTCATAAACTTTGATCTTCAAACACTCACCATTGTATGAATACAAATTGAATTGAGAAAATTCAAATTGGCTGAACTGATTGAGTCTATTTTGAGTTTAATGTGATTCAATTTGATTTAATTTGGCTTGCAATAAGTTTATTGCAAAAAATTCTAACCATCTTAGTGGGTGATAAAATTATATTTAATGTACATTTGGTATTTTTATGATTGCATATTGAGTATAAATAACACCATTATAATTAAATAAAATAGAAAATATCACAAACAAATTTATGTAAAATGAAATATATTATTTTGATATGTTTTTTGATCGTAAGGGAAAATTAAAGTGGGGCACCTTCAAATCGCAGGGTCTCGTAGTAGCGCGCACATGGGTGATGGGCCTACTTCAATTCTCTTTCACTCTTCCCGCCATTTGTCTTCATCTTCCATCCAAGTCGAGCAGCCACAAAACCCTAGGACGGGAGCTCGTTGCCGCGCGAAGAAGGTAACCCTCATTTTCTCCCACGCTTTTTCTTTTCGCTAAATCCTTCGAACTCCCGGTCCCGGGTTTAGTGAATCTGGAATTTGAGGCAAAACTGAGAAGAAACAGGAGTTGATGGTATTCTTCTCTTCTATTTTCTGTCTATTTCTATAATTTGTATTCTCTCTGTTTTTTTTTTTCTATGCTCTTCAGGTCTAGGGTTTGGTTTTCCTCGTGGCTATTTCTTCGTTCGTGCTTCGGATTCGCATGCTTCGCGTGAAGTGGCGCTTTGAAAGAGTCGCTGATGATGCTTCTTCATCTCCTTCGACGATGTCGGGTCGGTAGTCGCGACTGGAACTCGCCGCGAAGGTAACGATATTTATTTTATTTGACGCGCTTCTCGGCTAAACCCCTTGAATCAGCTGAACTACCTGATTTACTGATTCTGGGATTTAAGGCAAAACGGAGAAGGAAACGAAATTTGAGGTTCTGTGGTTTTTAAAGTTGTCAATTTTGCTGTTTGGCAGGATTTAGGCAAAATCATGCTAAAATCCGGCATTCTGCAGGATTTAAAGGTGTCATTTTCGCTGTTTGGCAGGATCTAGGCTGAATCCTGCTTAAAACCTGCTCAAATCCAGTTACCAAACAACCCCTAATTCCGACATGGATACAGAGATCAAAGCTGAGTTCGAGAAGGGCGGCTTCTCTATGGTCGAGGAGGACGAGATCCTTCAGAAATGTAGCTCTCATCTCTTTCCTGCTATCTCTCTTGTCATTTGTTCGTTATAAACGCAAAGAGAATTTTTTCTCATGTAATTTCGTCCTTATATCAGGTCTCACGTACTGTATAAATTATAAACTCAGCCCGGCGGATCTTGTTGAGAACTGGGAGATATACTATCTCAACAGGTCAGATTCATCATCTCACGTTAGCTACTTTTTATCCACAGTCACATCTCAACAAAATGAAAGTGTTCTCCTGCTTTTATTTGAAAGAAATGCCGGATCTATAGGTAGTTGGATAGTTCTCTTTTGAGGTTAGCGTTTAAGATTTTCTGGCTGGGAGTTAGGAAAGGGGACGACTTTTTGATGGTCAATCCTTGAAACCCTAGAAGAGTGTGGGGAAGGATTTGAACGTTTTGAGGAACATATTGAATATAGGGGAAAAAGATTAAAATGGTTCATTTACTTTTTATGAAAGACTAAAATAGCGTCCAACTATATTAAATGTTCATTTTAGTCCCTCAACTCCTTAAAGAGGAATTAAAATAGTCTCATAATAAGATTATTTTGATTATTTTTTTAAACTTAAGAAACCAAAATGTTCATTTTTTCTTGAGTTTAGTAATAATTGTTGAAGCCATTGCCAATTGCTATTTTTTTTTCTAGATTAAATTGAGAGGTTTTACTATCATATTATTTTTCTTTTAATTATGGTGTAATAGCTCAAACTCTTAACTATAAAGATATTATTCACTTTGACCTAAGGGCCTCATGGTTTTGTCCTGTTGGTATGACTTCCTAGGAAGTCGCTTATTCTAGGATTTCTCCGAGATGAGCATTTTCAACTATGAAATTTTTTTAATAAAATTCTATCCATTATATCAAAAGGTGTTTAAATGTTTAAGAGTTTAGCTTCTTTTACTTAAGGAGTTTCACAATCTCTCATACTTAAGTAACTGACGTCCTCGTCAGTATCCTTATTCCATAATCATCCACCAGGTAGATATGATTCTAGAGCTGGCCCCTATAAGTTCAAATGGTGACTTCTGTCATGTAGCACTGTCCTATATATGGTTCAAGAGGTGGCTCTATGATGTAACATTTTGTCTTGTATGTCACTTAGTTCCAATCTTCTGATTGATGTATTGCTATAATACCATTTGTAATAACTCAAATTCTTAACTATCTAGATATTATCCGCTTTGGCCTAAGGGCCTTACGATTTTGTCATGTTGGTGTAACTTTTCATGAGGTCACCTATCCCAGGTTTACTTCGCGATGAGCACGCTCAACTACGGAGTTTCTTTAATGAAATTCTAACAATTACACTAAAATGCGCCTTGATGTTTAAGAAGTTAGCTTCTTTTACTTTGAGAATACTAAGGCTCTATTTAGATGCTACAAATTTGAGTGGAAAAAAATAAAATAAAAAAGGAGTTAAAAATATCAAGTAAAAAATGAGTCAACTATATCAAGTAAATTCTTGTTGAATCATAATCAACCCATTAAACTCTTTGATATCATTTCATTGTCCCACTTTGTTTAAATCTAAATGGTGCTAAGTGTGATGTCTCAGAATCTAAATAGGAAGAATTATTCATTTATCCTTTAAATAATCAACAACCAGAGCTATCTAATATCATAATTCATATATTATTAATAAACAATATAATATATTATATAATTTAAAACATCAATGTACACATATATATTCATTCTCAAAAGTCATATACACTACTCATTATCTATACAATCATCACATATCTATCATGTACTGAGTACAAAAATAATAACTAAAATAAAAAGAAACAAAACCTGAAGAACCCTGACCAGCCTCACACTCCTGCTCCCCCGCCCTGACCTAAAATCATTTAACAACATATAATGAGCTTAAAAAGTCAAGCAGGTCACCAAATTTACAACTAAACTCAAAGCATGATAAAGAAACAATATGCATGTCAATAGTTAAATCATAGCAGTTACATCCATATGATCATTGAATCAATGCAGAAATAATAAAATCTACAAGCAGTAGTAGTAGAATCTGTAAACAATATAAAAGCTCATAAAATAATAAACCAGTACGAGTGTCATATCTCTAAAGAAATCATCGTATCCATAATATCAGTTAGTATAAAATCGTATAAAGCGTCAAATCAAAACATCATTATTGACTGTTGAAATCAAATCAATGTAGTAAAATCATATCGAAATGTATATATGCTATCCAGTTATTCTATATCATATGCTCAATATATCACATACATAATATCAGTACAGTGAATCAATAGTATTAAATAATATCAGTGTCTATATCAGTAATAGTAATAATTCGGTGGCAGGAGCAATAATGTAATAATAATAAATCCGTGCAATAATAATAAATCTGTACAAAAATAAAAATAATGCCTCAAAACATGCATTTCAATAGTCACACTAAACAAGTAGAAGCCCTGTCTATAACGGTGTTTTTCAGTATTGTATCAGTATCAGCAAATCGTTTGCTAAGTAAACAGAGTCGTCACTCTTTATGCAGAACATGTGAATTAATAAAGGATAACACCAAACCATAATATTTAAAGGAAAACTCTTCGGCCCACCATCCTGTATAGGTTTATCAGTCTCCAACCAATGGGTCAACCAGTCTTTACTTGCCCTTCACACACACAGTAGTATCATAGTACTATAGTAACAATTTTAATCATGTATTCACATTCATTTTCAATGCATTGTAACAAACAAACATAACTGATCTTAATAAAGAAGATCCCAAAATGACATAACGGTAGACAACAAAGAATCCTATTAGGCAAAAATATCATTTTTAGAAAACTATCAAATTACCATGGATTGTATAAAATGACATTTTAAGACTTTTATTCTACACCACTACTATTTTTAGACGCCAAAATAAATTTTGGAGTAGACAAAAATCGTTGTATTTTCAATATCACATGGTAAAAAATCTTAAGTAGATACTCAAAATGTTCATAATCACGATCTCTATAACATACAAAAAGTTACGCTGTGAAAGTTTTGCTAATACAAAGTTATACACGTTTTCTGGTAACGGAAACACAATTTTTTTTGAAAAAATACCAAAAACACAAAAAATTTGAAATCAGAAATAGGGTTTGAAATCTTTACAGCGAGTCGAGCAAATATCCCAACTGCGTCGACGGACGAAAATCGCTTTGCGGTCATCAAATCTCAAATTTCCTTTTCTCTCCTCAAAATTCCTCACATTTCCTCTAAAAAGCTCTCTGTTATCCGAAATCTTAGGGAGTTCAATGGATTTTAATATAAAATATTAGTGCTTTAAGTTATTTTGGATTAAAATAATATTGTAATATTATAAAATTAATTTAAATAATTTCTTTTAGTATAAAATTTAAATAATTCATTTTAGGACTCAGAAAATTATAGAAAAATATTCATAAAATAAATCATAATATTTTAAAAATATTGATGAAATCAGTTTGCAAAATGGACACCTGACGATCCCGAAATCCTCACTTGTACCGACATGTACAAATTCCTTAAAGGATTTTTACCGGTGTCCAAAAATTACGAAAAATTCGTCTAAGAAAAATACTAAAATCAAAATATCATAGCGAAGACGGATTGCAATTTGGAGCTATTATGACTCCAGAATAATTTGGCAAAGTTAAAATACGGGCTATTACACTAAGTACTAGAGTGATTCTACAAATAACATTTCGTTCCCCGGCAACGACGAAATTGTTGTATATAAAAAAAATAAAAAAACAATAATAAAAAAATTCTACAATTTAACATTGTGATACACTTTCTGGTTGTTGAAGGGTTGGATTTGTTTGCCCAATATGTAATGACAGAGGTGCAGGAACAAGCTTTCTTTAATTGATCTTTGATAAAGTTATATTTTTATTTCTTTTACAAGCTAAGGATGAAGAACACAATTTCCAAAAGCATGCACCTGCTAGGAGTTTGAATGCTTAGCAAATGGTAAGTTTTGGATGAAATATATAAATTTGGACTATCAAATCCCAGTTCAATGGATTTTTTTTTAAACTTGTTTCCACAGTTTTGTGCAGAACTCATGCTAAAGGGATTTGGGACCTTGATATCAGTAATTTCTGACGATCCCAGAGTAAAAGAAATAACAAAAATCTGAACAAGCTATGAATTCTCGACAAAGTAAGTAAATTATTCTCAATGAAAATTTAAGAAGGCAAATGATATAGATGGTTCTGAAAGAAAGATTAAAAAACTTAGTGACATGCTGATAAAAAATAATCTTCAGTCATTAATTATCAATAAAAAATTTGGAATTTTTGGCATGATAGTGAATTAAACTTGCCAAAATACCTACGGAAAAGCCAACAATAAATTTCCTTCTAATCCCGTCCAAATCAAAGCTAGAAGAGATGAAATCATTTTCTTAACAGCAGGCCAGCACAAAAAAAAATGAAGATACGGAAAAAATGCAGAAATTTGAATCCTTTTAATCATCATACGGTTGGCACAAACCAATAAAAAGACAAGGAAGAGATATAGAAAGCAAAACACTAAACTTCACTAAGGAAAGATAAGGATTAATTTCCAACTGATCTAAGGGTTTTATCTCAAATCATGAATAGGCAATGCATATCCAACAAATGGAATATAAATTCATGAAGATTATATAATATTTTTACATGCCTCAAATTTGAGAAATAGAAAGTAAATCCCGCAATGGATACTATACTAAACACCACAAATAAGAATTTTAACAAATCTTGAATTTCTATAAAGCCGGAGTTGAAGATCAACAAAGTTCCGAATCTAACTATTGGGTAAAATTCAGTGAAAACAGGTCTTAGGATCTCTTGATACAGTGGCAGAATTGAAACCAATAAGAAATCACATAAAACAAGACAAGATATAAAATCATCGATTTGGACTACAATAAATTAACAATGTAGAAGAAGCAGTAGGCGTAAGCTATGGCTCCTAAGAGTTCAACTACAACGCAAACAATTATAAGTTATCCGCCGGTTGGAGATTCTACGTAAATAGAATTCCAAGTCCCGTATGGATACAAGGAGAAGGCTTTCTCAAAAGTTGTCATTTAACACTTGCATCATGCTCATAGAATATACATCCAACTAACACATACAAGTTTGAGAAAAATTTAGAATTTCAGTAAATAGTATGATGTGAAACGTACATGCGATGATGAGTTTCATAATGAAAGCTTGCACGCTTAATTTTAGATAGAACAAATATTATATCTTTATAATAATTTGAACGACGAGATAAAACATTAAGAACGGAAAAACGAGCTTACGGTTGAATCACACGGGTAAGAGTTAAGATCATATAACAATCAAGTCAATCTAACGTTGCGTACATGAATGGTTTTCCACAAATATTCCTAGACTAACAATAAGATTAGTTGTTCTGAGAAGATCCCTCACACAACTCATCCAATTACTTGGTTTCAGCGGAGAAGATTAGCATGATTTCCATGAATCAAGATATCAAAACAATAGAGAAGTAACTATAAAGATAAAAGGGTCGGATAATGAGTTTACCCAAAGAAATAGAAGACATGAAGCTTTAGTGGCTGTTTGAATGCTTGAGATGAAGTAGACGGCAACCAAAACCCTTCTTGATGTGGTGGACAGCAATCGGAAACTTTAGGACAGCATCCGAAGCTCTCCCGACTGGCTGGACAGCAGGAAGGGATGCAGAATTTCTCTGGACAGCAGCAGTTTGGTCTTGGACAGATCTTGGACAGCAACCTTTCAGGTGCAAGAAGCGTTGGAATTCTCTTCTAAGCTGCTGGGAACTTGGGACAGCAAAGTGTGGTCTTCCAGAGTGCTGGACAGCAAGATATTTTGTTGGAATAAGGGGACAGCAAGCAGAACTTCAGGGCAGCAGCAGATTTGAACGTGTGGAAGGCTCTGGATAGCAGGTCCACAAGCTTCCAATCCTGGACAGCAACCCAGTTCAGGGGAAAACCAATTTTGGCTAATCCGTTGAAGGGAAGGAGGTGGTCACGGAACTAGGAAGATTAGGACTTAATGAGGCCTTATTTGAAGCCATGAATTAAGCTCCTAATTAAAGGGAGGAGTAATGGGTATGGGTGGCCGGCCATAGAGCATGGAGAGAGGGAGTTTCAGTTTTGATGAGGTGGGGGCCCACTTGATTAAGTAAAGGATTTGAATAAAACTGAAATAAATTCAGATTTTAATCAAGAGGGAAAGTTTCCTAATTTATGCTTAAACACTGAAACAGCTATTTGAATTTCAAATTGGAATTGAATTCCAATTAAGATGATGGAATAAATTCAGAAGTTAATTTTGGGTAATGGCTCTTGGAGAATTTGAATTTCAAATTCAAAATCCAAGAGGAAGGGCCGACGGGTTGAGAGGTGGAAGGGGATGGAGGCGGCTGCAAGGCTGCAGTCCGGCGGGTGGCTGGCCTGCTGCTGGCCGGTGGCTGGACAGGGTAGGTGGTGGAAGGGGTTGTGGGGAGGAAGCTCAAGAAGAATACAATCCGGATGTATTCTCTTTGAGTTTCACACTAATTGATTACAAAAATAAAATGGAAGAAGGTCTAGAACTCACAATGAGATCTAGCTCTTCTCAAAACTCACTAAGAGATTTGAGAGAGAGGAGGCACTCACAAAGAGAACACAAAGTAATTTTCATTTCATCAAAAACTAACTCTTACATGAGAAAAGGGCCATATAAATAGGCCTCAAAATGACAAAGAAAGTAAAGTAATATATATATATATATATATATATATATATTAATCATAACATGACTTAAATAACTCAGTATATTTACAATATCCTTTAATTTGGAAAATATTATGTCATACTGTACAATCCTATTGATAATGTAGGTTCTCAATTAGATTTTACTATTGTTACTTCTCAGTCATCCAACATTCCTTGCAAATCTTTACTCAGTTTCCTTGGGTAGATTAGGAATCAAGGCACAATCATCTTTAAGTTGTGATAAATGGAACTACTTCATTCAATTGCAAGCCTTTTAAAATAGTGGCCTTTGCATGTAGATTTATTTCGTTTGTGCTTGAAAACAAAAAGAACACGTTTGGTTAGAAGTGTTGTTCAATTCTGAAATCCAGTGAAAGTTCATATGCCATCCTTTTGATGCGGTATCTCATAGTAAAGTATATGATTGTAGTTTTAGGCGCTGAGGGAAGTGATAGGAACATAATGACACCCATATCATGGTTTATCATTTTTCTTAACAATGGTTTAGTACAGCATTTACTGATTAAAGGTCCATGCTCAATCTACAACGTTTCTGGTGAAATTGTAGAATAGTTGTAGTTCTTTTCACAAATTATTTTTTTACTCATACTCCAAAACTCTTTTAATGCTAGTCCATTGATGATTAATTCTTGATGCACTTCTTTTATCCAATGTGCTCAGGCAATTAAATGGTTTAAGGATAGAGACCTCTTACATGGATGGGTTTTTGTCACATCTTCAACATGACCAGAAGGAAAGAATTATCAAGGAGGAACCTAATTTACATATCTATTCGAGCAATGATATTGATATGTAAGTGCTTTATTTAGTAAAAAATAGATACTGGATTCTTTTTAATGATGTTCTGTATTGTTTGTGTGAGCTGTCTGCTATTTGGCATTATCAAGGTTTTCGAGCAGTACTATCTACTACATGCCTCTTCTTTCCTTGTTTATGCTGTTTTTTTTTTCCCAATCATGGCTATTATATTTGGCACCAAACTAAGTTCATTGGTACTTGCTTAGGTTACACGGTGAAGAACAAGATAGCATCAAGGAAGGGTTGCTTAACACACCAAACCATTTTTATGAGAGGCAGAATTTGGAGTCAAATGCAGCTTCAACACCAGCTACAAGTGAAAAATCTTCATCTACAATGAAATTAAACCTAAATAGCCGTATAACTCCTTTTGGGCAAAGGACGAACAAGTTTGTATCACAGTTTACTTTAAATGATCAGTTAATTGGGCAGTCATTGAACAGTAAAGAGTCTCAAAACATGGATGATGACGTAATTAGAAGAATTCAGCCTGGTGAAAGGTGCTCCTTGCATATTCAGTGTTCACTGCCAGAACCAGGTTGCAGGTTCATGTATGATAAAATAGAGGACCGGGTAAATCAAATTCTTTAAGCATGCGTCTCTCTTTTGTGATGCTATTAAGCGTGTCAACTGCAGCTAGTATTTGCCTCTTTTTTTTTCCATAAATGATTTATATTGTTTTCTTTTGATTTAGTTTAACTCCCTTGAATATCGCATCAAAAGACATAGTAGTGCGTTTTTGACGTCTGGACTGTATGGAGAGCCAAACGATGCTACCTTGGCTTCACAGGTGAAGGATTTTTCATGGAATGATCTTGTTTTGTTTTCAGTCACACCATCCAGATTTTCTAGTTTAATGTTTTGCATTAATTTCTTATTACTTCATACTTTTTATTGCTATCATTTCATTGTAAAAATACACTTCGTACTGGTTGTGACATTTTTTTTCCATATATTTTGAAGCCTTTGTGTGTATTAATTTCATCATGTTGAACTTTGTATATGCTTCCCGATTGATTCAAGCAAGCGTGATGAGAACGACGGACTACAAATGTGACGTTGTATGAAATCACCCGAATTTTATTCATTGCATTTGAAATGTCGAAATAACGTAGAAAGAACCCCTCACTTTCAATTTCTCGAAACAACATATTACAAACGTCATTGTGGTAAATCACCTGAACATAGTTCGTTCGTGAAATGAACCGTGCCATTGAGTCGTGAACGTTGAAATTACTAGGGAAGTATACTTATATTGCTTGGGTTCTTGCTCGAGAGGAATGACGAAAAATCCAACTATGCATGCAAAAAGAGGAGGAGATTCAATGTTTGCGAGTGGCAAAAATTTGGTAAATGAATTGATGGCATTTAAAATAAATAAATAAATATATTCTTATTATTATTAAAGTTTAAAAATTAATTTAAAATTGATATTAGTATTTATTTAACATATATATATATATATATATATCTAAATTAATAAAAATTCCAAAATTATAATATTTGGGTTCAATTTACCTTGTTCTTCTAAAATAAAAGGGAAATTTTTTTAATAAAGTAAAAATTAATAAACATAGAAAGGATTAATGTTGAAATTAAATTAATTAAAAAAGAAAATAAAATAAAAAGGGGAGGAGGCATGTCAGCACGTCCTAGAAACCGAATGTGCACGTCATTGAAACAATTGGTCATATAAAACAATGAAAAAACGAAAAGAAACTTATGTTGAATCAATTTTGGCTTGATTGTCTACTCCCGACTTTCATTCTCAAGCCTTCCAGCCTCCCAATCGTCTCTAGAGACCACGACAGTGACGCCCACGAGAGGACCATTCGTCTTCAATTTAGATCTAAAGGCTTTCATTTGAGTAGATCTTGATCGGTAGTTTAAACGATTATTAGTGTTGGTAGACTGAAACTTACAATATTCTCAGGATGACGGAACTATGAGATCTTGATCGGGCCTACATTCATCCCCCATAATTGAGATTAAAACATTTAAACTTCTAAAACTATTAATCCTTAATTGAGAGTTCTTTATTACGCACTAGAAGGGGTAATTAACTATGAGGGCTTGCATTCATAGGAAGTAGAAACCCAAAATTAAATAAACCCGATACAATCATTGGGGGAATTTGATTAATTAAAATTCAATCTACCTCATGGAAAAATGGAATCTTAAGCTTAAGAAGTGGGGTTCGTGCATAGTGTCATCTTTTCTTGAGCAAACAATTTAAAAAAGAAAATAAAAAACCTAACTTACTCACATTGCTCGTTTTTCACACACAAAAAAAAAAAACCAACCGTTAGGACCTGTTAACCTCATTTTATTCCTCATGCAATTCACTAACCCGACCTTATGCTTTGCACCCATCGCCTCCCTCCTCTGCTCGCGCAGAGCTATTGCCCACGCTCGACCCTCTAGCCTTTGACCAACCAACCTACCATTTGCTCCCTAATCGATCAACCATGTCATAGTTAGCCACGTTAGCCAACCTCATCCTCTCCCTCTTTCTCAGCCTCTTTCTCTCAATCTCTCTCTCAATCCCTCCCTCAACGTCTCCTCTCTCTTTCTCTTTCTCTCACCCACTACCCATTTCTCTCTCTAAACAAAGAGAACACATCTCCACTAATTCCACCTTTTCTTTCACTTACCTCTATTTTTCTCTCTAAAAGAGTGATTTTTCTTTTCAGTCTCCCCTCATTTTTCTCTAAACATAGAGAGAAATATCTCATTCTCTCTCTAAAAAGAGAGATCCTCTCAACCTCCCATTCTCTCTAAAAGAGTGACTTTTCTATTCTTTTGCTAAAAATCAGAATAAATAAAATAAAAATATCTTTCATGCTGCATTCATCGTCGCAAACTCATCTCATCATTTTTTTTGTCGTTAACTTCACTCTTTGCCTGTTGGTATAAAAATCAATGATCCAAAATCCTCAAAGTCTCATCAACGATGCATTCGGCGTGACGAGCGGAACTTGTATACGCTTTGTTAGCATGACTAAAATTATAGACGTTCATGACGAGGCTGGTAAATAACTAAAATCTCATTTTTTGCTACGCTTTGTGTGACGAGTGGAACTTGTACACATTTTTCTTGGTGTGATGAGTGAAACTCGTTGGCGATACTCGTGATACACTATAGCGGGTAAACCTCGTGTGTGCTTTTCTTAGTATAGCATTGATATTTAAATGTTGCAAATTCTCTCATGAAGGTCTCAGAAGTGTCTTTTTTGGCATGATGGGTTTTTAAAACTCTGGTTGTAGTGTTGTAAGATATCGACCATGGTGGACATGCTAGACTCCTTGTAGATTTCCTATGAGGTTGACATGTGGAGAGGCTACTAGGATTTAAATAGAATAGTCTCTAAAAGTTACATACAAGGAATCTAACATGAGCAAAATACAACTAAATAAAGTGACAAATACTAAGTTAAATAATGAAAATGTAATGCAAGCATCTCTAAAAGAACAAAATATCTAATAATGAATTGAAAATACATAACTTATAGGAAACTTTTGAAAAACATGAGAGTTTGCTAAGAAAATGATTAGGACTTCACTAGCAAACTCCCTAAACATGCAAGAACCTAGTAATGCGGTAAATGGACTATTCTTCCCCTAATATTTATAGGTGAGAAAAGAACCCCAATGGGATCTTGGCATAAAAAATAATTATATTGAAATGATAAAAGGGCGACATATAAAAATGTGCCAGCATCGCAACTCGTCCTAATTTTGCTTCTTTCATCCTTGGATCCTCAATATTTTTGGGCAACCAAATAAAAGGTAATCATTAAAACTTAATGTATAAAATTTAAATGCAAATGTCAAAATTTAGATAATTTCAACACTTGGGTGAGTTTCATGAGATAATCTCCGACTCTGATACAACATCTTGAATTTTATGCAAGTATTGCGAAACAACAACGACAACATTAAGCCTTTGTCCCACTACATGAGATTAGCTACATGAATCCTTTTTCTCCATTGCATCCTTCATGTCATGATTATTCGATAAATTTTACGCTGGCTGTCGACTACCTAACATAACCATCCACTTTTCTCATCCAAGACTTGGGACTTGATAACGTCAGTGTTGATGCAAGTATGGTGAAAGCATGCAAAAAATTAAATTCAAACATTTTTTAGTCAAGTTTATGATTAATGAGGTGACTTTTGAATTATGTTAAAAACACATTGCAAAGTGTGCAAATATATCAACCACGTTGAAAATTGTGCAGTTGCATTATACAAGAACACTGAAAATTGTGTAAGTTTATGATCAAGTACATTGAAGAGTGTGCAAAAAAATTAGATCTTTTGAAATTGAAATGTTTGCATGTGCTCTGACGAACATGCTACATATTTGAATTTAACGTCTGAGAAAATTTTGTGGACGAAAACTAATGTGAATATGAACTTTGCAAGGAGAATTGTGCTATTATTTTAAAAGCCGGCAAACGCATCTCGCAAAGACATCAAAGAAAATGCAATTGTAAAATGCAAGTGTATTGAAGAATCGTGCAAACGGATCATATGAATTCATAAAAGCATGCAAGTACATTGAAAACTGTGCGACTATATTATACAAATGCACTGAAAAGCATGCAAGTGCATAATATATTTGCGCTGAAAACTGCACAAACACGTTGAAAAAACATGCAAGCATATTGTGCAATTGCTTCAAAAAACGTGTTAGTGCACCATATACGTGCATTAAAGAGTGTGTAAGCATAACATGTAAATACACCAAAAAATATAAAAAATGCATAAAAATTACGCAAGTCACATTAAATTATCAAAGTGAAAATGTTCTACATATGCTCCAACAAAATATTTGAACTCTCAAATTTTAGGTTTGAGAATGTTGCACTGGGTAAATAGTTATGACTGGGGCACTATAATTGGATGATTTTGCAGCAAAATGACCCCATTAATTTATAGTCACGAACAGACGTTGTAAAATTCTCAATGGGTAAAAACCCTTGGGTGGTGATGAATCATAGAGTGCAATTGATAGGGAATGAAACCCTATATCTGCTAACTTCGACTTGTTAATGTCCCCTTAGACAAACATCAAGTCTGGCCTTTTAAGAGTTTTTTGGACAAAGCAATTCATGACTACTAACAAGGATACTTCAGTCAAGTTGAGTTGATTACCTTCTTTGGCTAAGTAGATTATGGTGACAGAACCATGAGAGCTTGATCGGCTTGTTATATTTCTCCTACCATCCTCTTTAAGTATGAGGTGGTAAATTTAGAACCTTATATTAAATTTCTTGCTATTATATGCTAAGCATTTTAATGACTGATTTTAATCAAAAGTTCTTTCTCGTTATCTAGAGGGATAATTAACCATATGAGAAACCTTTAATTAAATCATAAAGTCTTTGCGAAGTGAGGGTGAAATTTATGTTTAGTTTCTTAGAATCAATCTAATATGCCTTTTGGAAATTTAACTCGAGACATCTCAAAACTCCCTCAATAGGGGTATGAATTTTCAGAGCCCACACACTATTACTATTAGCCAATTCTAAATTGTTACAATAAGGGTTTGTGATGATGATAATGACTATTGCAACTTGTGTTTTCTAAGAAAAGCAAATCTTTTGCAGAAAAATATATTTGCAGTTGGAATGATTTGCTGTGATGGAGAAGGTCGGTTGAATGAGAAGTCAATAATGCTACAAGGAAGGTACACGATGCTTTTATTTGTTTTCCTGGTTTTAAATGGCCATTATTCAGGAGAATTCCAACTGGTATCTGACTTTGGGAAGTTCTTATTAAAGCGTTGAGCATTCAGGTGGGCAGAGTGTTCGGGTCGACCTTCAAAAGTTACATCAGTTTTCCTTGTTTCCCGGCCAGGTATAATCTTTGCTTTATATGTGGCAAAAGCTTATAAGAATATTTCAATTTAAATACTGTTATTCTGAAGTGCACTTTCAGGTGATTGGTATTGAAGGCCATAATCCTAGTGGACACTGCTTGTTGGTATCTAAGGTCATTGAAAATTTGCCGTTGGCTCCTGATGTTGGTTTGCCTCCTGCTAAGAAGCAAGCCATGGACCATGAACAAAAAGGTTTCCCAAGCATAACGTCAAGAGTTCTATCTGTGGTTTGTATTCCTTGATCATTTTGCTTGAGTGATCTTCATTTTATAGCAAAGCATTTGTTGACATCTACAAAAGGCAATGGTTATCTAATTCACCAATCTCCAAAATCTGTTCACTATGCTAGTAAGTCAATAATAAACAAAGATGGCAAGCCTAGAGTTCAATTGAGACATGTCCTTCTTGTTCAAAAAGATCATAAAGACCAAGATCAGATTTTTATGTTTTACCTTAGAAAAATGTTTAGTTTTATTATCACGGCATATTATAATTTTATTATTTTTATAGCATACACTTTTCAGTCTCATTTTCCAGTTTCTACCTAGAAGTTACCGCCAGATGGAAGGCCGGCAATTTTGAAGGTTTTATCCACTTCCACGCAGAGAAAAAAAATGAAAATATCTAGAATGAATATCTCAGATGTTGATCTTTACCAAGGAAATAGTGAAAACCTGAGCTCAATCATCAGGCTAGGCCAATTCAACTGCATCTCTGTATTACTTTTCTAATAGAAAGGCAGTGGAGCTTAAAAATGTGAAGTTAATATTTCTATAGCATGTCTTCATTGCTTTTATGGGTCCCATCACCTAACTACGCCTCTCTAAGGAAAACGTACCTTTGCAAATATTATTGTTAGGCCCTTTGGATGTATGCCATTCTATGTAGTTCTATAGCTTGTGAAATGCGTGCCACCTGATGATTTTGTAAGTATGTTAGTTTACATTGCAAAATAAGTTAAAAAATGCTGTCCCCAAATTTAAATTATTCTCAACTGCTAATTGGTTTTATCCAATAATGGCCTATCATCATTCACTAGTTTAAATGTGCATGTATACACACACAGGCTTGTCTACAAGGTTGCATGCATGCGCACACACAAAGCTTTTGTTGTGAATGGTTTTAATGTGTTCCATTTAGAAAATCTATTATTTCTTTGACTATGACAGGTCCTTGCAACTGGTCCCTTCACAACAACTGATAATATGCTGTTTGAACCATTCAAAGAATTGCTGTCCTATGCTACCAGAAAACAACCACAGTTGCTAATTTTGGTAAGTCCACAATGATACGACCCCCACCTCTCCTTTTTAGTCAAAACATTTTTATTCTGCAATCCAGAAGTAATCTTAAATTATATTGTCAAAATAACATCTTTACAGATGGGACCATTTATTGACTCTGAGCATCCGGAGATCAAAAAGGGTACAGTAGATAGGACCTTTGATGAAATTTTCCATGTTGAAATCCTCAGAAGGGTAGTTGCATAAATATTAAGAGTATATTTACAAATGATTATAAGTTTGTGTTTCTCTTGTGAGATCTTTAACTTTTAACTTTTCATTTTTTTTATTCAGTTGCAGGATTACACTCAGTATATGGGTTCTGCTGTTCGTGTTATTCTTGTGCCATCCATACGTGATGCTAACCATGACTTTGTTTTTCCACAGGTGGTCATTTTTTGGACTTGCGAGACTCCACATTTTTATGTATTTTAGTGTCTTATTTTCTGAAGTTAATTTGCATTATACTAAGTGCTAACTCTACCTCGATTTTCCTCTTATACATTTATTTTAAAAACCTTATTCTTTTTCATCATTATTGCCAAACAGCCTTATTTTCATATCTTTATCACAGCCACGATGACCATGTTACCCATCACTTTATTGACCTCTTTCTGCTTATTTAATTGGGCTCATGGCAATCAAATTTAGCTACAAATGCAAATTTTTAAAATTTTGAAGAATAGTTATCCTTTTTTTTTTGTTATATGCATTTTATCTGATGGTTGAAAGTTACTGCCTGACTGCAACCTGAACAGCACAGTTTTGGTATATGGCTAGTTATGTTATGATATGGAGCTAACCCATTCCATGATTTGCATCACTATGCTACCGCTTCATCTCGTGGTTGTTTTTCCAAACTATTAAATCCGGCTATTAATTTGTGTTATGCAGTCTGCCTTCGATATTGAAATTTCGGATGACACAAAACATCAGGTATTCTTGATGCACATTTATTGCTATTAATGTTTTACTATTTTATATTTTTGAACCCTGAGATAATGTTTTACCTTTTTCTATTCAGATATCTGGCCTTGCAAATCCATGCCTTTTCAGCACAAATGAGGTATGCACTTATGTTAGTAACCATCCATATGAAGTGAAAACTACTATCTAGTTCAAATGGTTATTTTAACTATTTTAGCCAAATATTTGGGGCCGGCTTTATAAAACTCCAAGCGTTCTCTCTTCTTTTTAATGCTTAATTCAGTTTCAGAAGCAGCATATTTGAATGTTTTTTGAGAAATGAATCACATCAATATGCCAGAAAGAGAGGCTTGAGCTTGGGGATTTTTTTTAAAGAGATGAATTACAGAGAACTCGATTGAACCATTTAGGGTGCGTTTGGGATGCCGTCTCCACTGCGGCACGGTTTGAGACGCGCGCCACCTTCTGTTTGGGATGATGCGTTTCGCCGGCGGTAGAGAAATTTTCATGTATGTAGCCTGCTTTTTGCGACCCAAAATTTCTGGCGCGGTTCGCTGCTTTCCGTGATTCTGAAATGCTAAAATGTCGAAATTATCCTTCATCTTTTCAAGATATTCCGCCACCTCGATCGGCGTCAAACTCCTCCCCCTCCCGCCTCCTATCACCTGCGAATCGATCTCGCTCAGAATCTTATGCATTGCCACCAGATCACCACACTTGCCGCCAGATGCAGCTCCGTATTGTTGTGCGGCCTCACTTGCCTCACGTCCTTCTTGTTTCCCGTGCTCTCCATCCTCTTCCCTGAGTTGGACAGAGCCAACGCCGGCGCTACCGAAGCCGTTGGGGGGGGGGGGTAGGAAAAGATTGCAAATTGCAATTCCCACCATTTAGAGCCTCGATCCCTATTTGTAGGTATAAATAGAGAGAGTTGTTGTCGGCAGTGCTATACAAAGATTAAACTACCAAGAAGCACTCACCAAGTGTTTTTATTGCTAATTATGCAGAGAAAAGGAAACTAGCTCCTCATGCTGCAAGAAAGTTATATTGAGGAGGATTAGTTCAAGTGAAACTGGCAGGTTCTCTTGGGCGAGTTCTGTTGGTTGACATGCTATCAAGTTTTGGAGTCAGCTTGGCAATTTGATCTTAATCAGGTGAGATGGGCTTTGAAAAGCATCACTTGCACTATTGCGATAATAGGGTGTTGTTTTCAGGATGCGGAGTAAAACATTATTAATGACATTGCATAAATATTTTGCCCTCTTGCAAGGACTTTATTTTCCTAATTTGATGACTTCCCAAGGGCACAAGCATCTAAAGTTTATTACCTCTGCTATGAGAGGGTGCACTTTTGATTGAGGTTAGGTGTGCTATCTCTCTCATGGTTTTGTTGTTGTAATGGCTATTTAGTGCAAGAGAAGAGGTTTGGTTTGGGAGATGGTGACTTGCTTGATCAAGATCTCATGGTCTAGTTATCTTGACTAGGTTATAGACCTTGATCTATTTAGTCGCCATAGATAATCGACCTAAAATGATCGGATGATCCTTGTCAACTATCATGGGCTGCATTGTCCAATGAGACCTTTTAGACTTGAGGTGGAAGCTAATTGAGTGGCCAATTTTTGATTGACTCAGGCTGACAGACTTTTTTGACTTATCATATGCTTCAAACATAAAAGAAAAATGCACCCAAAGGGGATCATATGGACATTGGCTGTAATGGTACTATAATGGTGTTGTATCTTTTGCTAACCATCTGATTGGAGGGATTTTATTAGAATTGTATTATAATAATTTTTTTTTACCAACCATCTGATTAGATGAGAGAAAATACAATCACTTGGTGCTAATTGCAATCCCCAACATTTGGAACCTTGATCCCTATTTGTAGGTATAAATAGAGATAGCTGTTGTGAAAAGTCCTATACAAAGATTAAAATACCAAGAAGCAGTCACCTAGTGTTTTTATGCTAATTATGTAGAGAAAGGGAAACTATCTCCCCATGTTGCAAGAAAGTTATGTTGAGGAGAATTAGTTCAATTGAAATTGGCAAGTTCTTTTGGGTGAGTTCTGTTTTTTACTTGCTTTCAAGTTTTGGAGTCGGATTGGCGACTTGATCTTAATCAAGTGAGTACGGGCTATGAAAAGCATCACTTGCATTGTTGCGATATAAGGGTGTTTGTTTTAGGATGCAGAGCAAAACATTAGTAATGACTTTGCTTAAATATTTGCCCTCTTGCGAGGACTTTATTTTCCTAATTTGATGATTTCCTAAGGGTGCAAATATCTAAGGTTTAATACCTCTTCTATGGGAGGGTGTACTTTTGATTAAGGTTAGCATTGCTATCTCTCTCATGGTTTTGGTGTTGTAATGGCTATTTAGTGCAAGAGAGAAGAGGTTTGGTTTGGGAGATGGTGACTTTCTTGATCAAGATCTCACGATCTAGTTATCTTGAGTAGGTTATGGACCTTGATCTATTTAGTCGCCATAGATGATCGACCTAACATGATCGGATGATCCTTATCAACTATCATGGGCTGCATTGTCCGATGAGACTTTTTAGACTTGAGGTGGAAGCTAATTGTGTGGCCAATTTTTTATTGATTCAGGCTGAGAAAGACTTTTTGACTTATCATATGCATCAAACATAAATAGAAACTCTAATGCTTACCATAGGGGATCATATGGACATTGGCTGCAACAGTACTATAATGTTGTTGTGTATCTTTTAATAAGCATCTGATTAGAGGGATTTTATTATAATTATATTATAAAAATATATTCTTTGGCTAACCATCTGATTATATGAGAGAACATACAATCACTTGGTGCTAAGATGACGACAAGATATGAATTAGATGTTTTTTGTTGCACCAGTTATACTTAATTCATCTCTGTTATATGAATACAAATGAGAACTGTTCCATATTATGACTAAGAAGTTCTTTTCTTGATAGAACCAGAAATAGCAATTCTTCATGAAGAAACTAAAGAACTATCTTTGCAAACACCCAAAATTTTTTATTTATTTACTTTCTCGAATTACACATCTCCTCCCACTTCCGATTTCTCTCTTCTATTTGTTGTGGGTTATTCCCCTTTATATAGTTGCATCTTGAGGTGGTAAGTTTGAAAGATGAAGTATGAATATAGCTTGAGTTAGATAACCATCATTGTTGACGCTTATTTTCATGTCGAGCCGACCCCGATCGAGCCCGACTAGGCTCGATCGACCCAAGTGATCGTCGTCGAGGCAAAATCGACTCAAATTAGACCCCGATTTGATTAAATTAAATTTGTTTTAGTCAAATTAAGTCAAATTTAATTCGATTAAAATCAAATCAAATTAATTGAACCCCCGTCAAGCGTCGTCGAGCCTAATTTGACACAATTCGACGTCGATTTGAGTTTAATTTCATGAAATTAACTCGATCGGACCCAAATCGATCCAATTCGAGTTCGATTCGAACTCAATTTCAACCCAAATCAATCAATTTGGGCTGAATTTGATTCTCAAATCAAAATTTGAGATTCAGGATTGAAATCTCTTCTCAAATCCCACTCAATTCCACTCCAATTGGGCAGCAAAATCTACTCGAGTAGATTTTCCCTCGTTTCACGCAACGAGGCAGTGGGATAGGATGGTTCGAGCGACGCCTGGCTTCGGGCGTCCATACTCCAGAGGAAAAATTACGGAGAGGGAGAGTCATTCGACACTCCCCCTATTGCTGTCGTTCGCTCGTCCCGCGACCCAGAGAGAGAGAGCGAAAGAGAACGGGAGCAGGAGTACCAGGCGAAGCCCCTCGTCCGCGCCAGAGCCCTCTTTCGCACGACTTCCAGCCCGTTCACGCCTCCTCGCGTGCGGAACTCCCGACCGACCCCACCTGGACCTTCGGCCGAGCTTCCCAAGCGCTCCTTTCCTCCTTCACTTGCTAGATCTCCTGAAGTCGCAGCCTCCCGTCCGTGAGCTCCTCCAAACCGAGGGCCCGACCTCATCCAGGTCGGGATTTGTGTTTATTTCTTTCCGAAGGGAGGCTTCTACCCTTCCTTCTTCAACTCTGGCGAGTTCGTAGTGGTCGAAAGAGCTGCTGGAAACCTCTAATCAGCAAAGGAAGGCTTCTACCTCTTCCTCTCTCAATTCCGGCGACCTCGAGGCGAGTTGGAAGCTGTTGGAGACTTCCAAACAACAAAGGAGGGCCTCTAAATCCTCCAAACAGCAGTTTGGAGCCCTCAAAACGCCTTGGACAGCAAAGGCGACGTCCGAAACACGTTGGACAGCGATCTTCCTCCCTTGGAGCAACTTTGGAGCTTGGACAGCGATCCGGAGCCTAAATTGGAGCTTGGACAAAGCTTGGAACTCGGATAGGAGCGCTAGGACAAGCCGGGAGAGGTATACCTTTGAAACTTAGGCGAAACCTTAAGGCTCCCTAGCCAATGGCATGTGGTTGACGATCCAAAGCCTTAGGTCCCTAGAAACTTTAATTTTTAGTCCCCCAAAACCCATTCGTTGGCTGTCCACTTCGCAAAGACTATGAAAATTTGGTGATTTCCATTGGTTGACTCTTATGTGAGAGTCCGGAGAGGATTTTGACGCCTATAAAGGTGTCGGATTGTTATCCAACACCTCTCAAATGTATGCTGTGCATCATATTGAGCTTAACACCTTCACCTACACTCAAACCTTAGGGCATGTTACTTTTCGTAGCCAAAAATAGTGTGTAGCTTACATATTTTCCCAAATCTCACATTGTGTACATGTACCTATACAACATTAGTGTCATGACAAAAATAGACATATGATTTTGGAATTTGGTTGAGCTTGTGAAGTGTGTCATAAGCCTTACAATATATCCAAAATGTTTGTGATGACTTGTTGTAGGATCTAATGTGAATCCCAAAGATTCACTTCAAAAATCCTAGAGCAAGTGTGTTTGACCAAACTCGCCTTTGGATGCATTGTATGGTTTGTGATAGAAAAGTTGATGGCTAATCATTTTTGTTACGCAAATTTTCCAAAGTTCGGAAGCTCATTTTAATGCCTTCAATGGGTCAAATCATGTCAAAAGTGATTTGACCCTTAAAAGCTTTAAAATACATGTTTTCCTACTAAATCATGATTCAAGCCATATGTTATTTATTT